AATGTTTTTTGAGAGGCTATGACTTTTTTTCTTTTCTTCTGTTCTGTAGAAGAGGAAGGATTCAGCAATGTTTCAGTATTTAATGATACCTGTTTGAAATGGAAGAGACATTCTGGAAGAATTGGGGTGAAGGAAACCTACCTAGTGAGTGAGACATGTACTGTACTTTTTATTAATAGCTGAAGAGAAAAGTAAGGTTTGGGATTAAAGATTTTAGTGGAAGTTTTAATAATCCTAAAAAAAAAAAAAAAAAATTGCTGTGAAAAAAGTTAGTCATTTGACCTGATTTTTAAACAGCTGTGTGAGGCTCCTGAGTTTTTCTGAAGAACTTATTAAAAGTTTGTTTGGTTTATTTCTGTGATAGTTTCACATACAGGCACAACAGGGATACTTGGTGAAATCCTCCCATGAAATGATGATGAACTTCACCACTGAGGAGGAGAACCCAGAGGTGTGTTTGCCTCTACACCTGGGTGTAAACTACACTGTGACTATCACTGAGGCATCTACCAAGGTTCTTTTACAAATCCCCATAATGCTCCCAGCAACGGGTAAGTGCCGTTCTCCTGGACATTATCTCATGTTTCCTTCTACTCTTCCGTCTGTCGGTGTCCGTCTGGTGTTTATTGTCTTATACTTCAGTTGTAAACTCTTTGGGGGCAGAGACTGTCTTTTGTTCTGTGTTTGGACAGCACCTATCACAATGGAGTCCTGGTCCTAGGGCTCCTCGGTGCCATAATCATACAAATAAATTATAATAATAAGAGTAGTAGGTTAAGTTTCTAGTGCAGTGACTGTGCATAAGAACAGGCTTACTTGGTTTGAATTCTGACTATTCCAATGAGAGACATTTGAGGTTCGAAGAAGATAAGTAGAGGGGCAAATCTATGAGGCAATCAGTCTTAAATTGTCACATTAAGGGGGTAAGTTCCTCTCTTATTGCTCCTTCTCAACACCATCAGAGTTACTGGAGATGTGCAGGGGCATTAAGAGGATATCTGATTGTCTTGTCTAAATTAGGGATAAATACGGTACAGTCTGTATTCAGGCAAAATGCCCATTGACTGCCATGAGAGATTTGCTTGACAAAGTACTGAAAGATTTGTTCTTTTTGATTTGTGTTTTATACCCCAAAGAAAACATCTTTTTACATGATATGCAAAATATCCTGTGAATTTACAGTGCTGTAGAAGCGTGACTGTTAATAACAACGCATCACTAAGTCTATAGCCTTGTGGGAAGAAGGATGAAATGGATGCTTTAAAAAACAAACAAACAAGAATGAATGAATTAACCCAACCACAAGCACTGTTTCAAGTCTAGACATCACCCTATACACCTTCCTAAAGCGATTTCAAAAAGGTTATTTTCTTTAAGGTTTCATAAGCCTCTTTTTCCTTTTTGCAAATGTTCCTGGGAATGCACCATTTCCTAATCCAGTCTTCCTTTTTTATTGCCATATAATTTGTGTTAACCGATGCAGTCCTCATATTGTAGAGCTGCTTCATACACCAATTTAGAGATCTATAAACCAATCAGTCTTGTGAGATCAAGAATAGTCACTCTGCAGCTTGAAATCAGGGAGCATCTCTCTGGTGGGTGTCAGTAGTTATAGATCAGACACGTTTGTTCTTGCTTTCCAGCTTCTAGAGGACAGTGTTGTTACATGTACACCCACACGTTAGTGAAGTGCATTACCCTGAATGCAGAGCACAGTATGCAAATTACATACATACTGCACTAGCAGGAATGCTCAAGGCAGAGCTAGACTGCTTCCCAAAGCCAGTTCAGACTGGATTGGCCTCCAATATAAGAAGGATCAAGTCTGTATGGAGAATCCTAAAACAAGAAACACCATGCTCATCGAAATGGTAAATGCCTAGATAGAAGTACTGTAGTGTCGTCTTCTTCTTGTGAAATGAATAGACTTTAATGTCCTCTTTCAGGACTTTCCAGCCAGTGGAAGTGAAACTATCATACACTAAAAACCAAAACCTAACTGTTTGTTTTTGTTTTCATTATTCATGGCATTGTGTGTCAGATTGGTACTCGGCAAAATAATCTCTAGAGCTGTACTTTCTCCTTCACTTTGATCTCATATTCATAACTTCAGGAGTCTACAGAGTGGAATTAAAACATCCCTTCTATTTTTGCATGCCCTATTTTATCCCTTGTAAGAGGCACATCACAGAGCACATTAGAGAGAGTGAGGTGAATGGTACTTATAGCTTATTGTAAAGATAACAGCAAAAATTTCCCTTTGGTGTTTATTTTTCTGCGTGCAGAAGAGGAATTGCTCAGCAATGTGTCCATATTTAATGAAACCTGTGTGAAGTGGCAGAGAAAAGTTGCAAGAGCTGGGACAAAGGAAACATACACAGTAAGTGAGACACAATTTTTGTGTGTGTGTGAGGGGGAATTTTGGAACTAATCTGGGCAGCTGAACCGCTTTGAAGATTTGTTTAGCTGGGTTTGCTACAGTGTTGAATGAAGGGTAAATTGTTTTCTCTTTCTTTCCAGTAAGAACCATATAGCACTTTCAGTGAGGCTGGGTAAATGATTGAGGGGAAAAAATACATCCCCGTCATCAGGTTGGGTAAAGGGTTCACCAAACTTTGACTGAGGCCCTAATGCTTAAGCCCACCTCTGTTCAAATATGAAAAGCTACAGGGAAATTAACAGCAAATATAGTACCGTTAGATACTATAGCATTGGGAGAGAGTCGTTTGTTATATATTTTGTGTTGTAGAAGTGCCTGGAGGACCCAGTCATGGACCAGGGCCCCATTGTGCTAGGAGCTGTACAAACATATGGCAATAATTTTAATCATTTTAGTAAGTGGGAAGAAATTAAGGCTCTGATTCAGGAAATTGTCCATATTCAGCAGAGCACTTAGACGCATGCTTAAGTCCCATTGAAGTCACTGAGAGGCAAAGTGACTTGTCCAAGGTCACATAACAAATTTGTGGCAGAGCCAGGAACAGAACCCATGTCTTCTAACTCCCAGTCCCCGGCTCTAAGCACCAGATCATATTTCCTGCCACACATGGATGTTGGGAACATTTGTTTTGAGCAATGAAGGAATATACTGAAACCTCACATCAAGTTCAGTAGATTAATCTACAGAACCTGTTTTCGTGTGATGCATTTTATTTATGTGACTTTTTGAAAGGGCCTGTCTTTGGCTCTAGGTACTTCTGTAATATTTAAATATGCAAAAATAAGAATAAAATGTGAAATATAAAGGCATAGAAATGAATTGCCCAACCTGGATAATTTAAACTAATAATTTGATGATAATTCCCACATTCAGGCAATGGAGATATCCCAGTGAAAAGCCCAGAGAAAAAGTTGACTTTTACAGCATGTTCAGGTGGTTAAAAATTCCCATCTCTAACAGACCAGGGTGGGAATAAGTTCCAAAGTTGGGGACCATTCCTGGAAAATGACCTGCCACTATCCTCCTCTCTTATACACCACAAGAACCATTAGCTTGAGTGCATTTGTTGCTCACAACTGAGGTGGGGAAGAGGCAGTGTACAAAGTAGTCTTGCCTGAAATTACTAGGGTTTTACAGGTCAAAACCAATTCCTTAAACCTGTACTGAACAGGTAATAGGCAGTGAGTACAAACTAAAGACCACTGGGATAATGTGCTTCCTGCGCTTAATTGAGTAGTTCCATTTTGCACTAAATTCAGCTTCCAAACAGCTTCATTTAGAGCACTTCTTAGTAGTTTAGTCTGGAGGTGACAAAGGCATAGTTAAGTGTAACAGTCTTGTCTATATTAAGTCTCCATCAGATCACACTCATCCATGCCCTAATCTCAAACCAACCCTGGCCATTCATTTCACTGCACCAGCCAGGTCAGATGAGATGGAAGCTTGGAGTTCACTGTTGTTCACCAACTGTGGATGCTTCTGTGGACCGCGGAGAAAAATATGCAAAAGTACAGGAAAATTAACAGCAGATCTGGTAGCATTCGCTTTCGGGGAAAGTGACTTATTCTGATTTGTATTGCGGTAGTGCCTAGGACAAGTGCTAATTATTTTAATAATCGTTTTAATAGGTGGGAACAAATTAAGGCTCTGATTGAGCCAACCATCTCTGCTCAGCAAAGCTCTTCAGTCCCATTAAAGCAGAGATAAGTAGGCTGCTGTGACTTAAATGAACCAGCATTCTGAATTTTAGAGCGCCACTGCTAATTTAATCATCTCTTTTTTTTTTTTTTAAATCCCACAACAGTTTCATATATTGGGACGAAGATGGCACCAGAAGGAATTCTCTCGTGAAATGATATTTAACTTCACAACAGGTGAAGAGACTCCAGAGGTGTGTTTAGAGCTGAACTCTGATGCTAACTACACGGTGAACATTACTACAGCATCCTCTAAGGGGACCTCAGCCCTAATTACTATAGCAATTAAGACAGAGGGTAGGTATGATGCTTTGGAACCTTTATAACTCATAGAAGTAAGTCAGTGTGCGAGTCTCATTTCATTTTTTGGAGCCCGGAAGGTGGATCAGAAAACATTTTCTCTTGCTTTCACATACTTTGTACCTCTCAACCTCTTGAGGTCCAAATGTGAGATGCAAATGTTGGACGAAGACTAAAAATTAAAATGAAATGTGAATGGTCCAGGAAATTTAAAATTAAATGAGATTAAATCCATTAACAACAATCACACTCTTTACAACCTTGTGTTTCTGATGTAAATAATTACTATTGATCATACGTGGCGCTTATAAAACACCGTGTAACCAGGGGCATCAAAACACTTAGCAAACAATGAACAGATCTCCTAACTCCTTGCTTTGTGTTTTAATCACAGTATCATTCCTTTTCACCAAGAGACTGAAACAGGAAAATTTAGCCTGTTGCATTAACACACCTAACTCTTGGAGAAATATTCATGGAAACCCAGAAGGCTTTAGTATTTGTAAGCTTCCAAGACTTTCTGCAGATGTGAGGCTTGTCTACATGATACAATAGTCCACACCAGAGGAGAATAAATTATAGCACACACTAGTGTTCTGCACACTAACTAGCCCATGTGGACCCTGCTGGTGAGCACTAAGAGTTCCCTATGGACTAGATCAGCGCACGCTCAGGAACATTTTAGTGTGCGCAAACACACAGGCCAGTTAGTGGAGGACATGCTAGTGCACACGAGAATTTATACCTCTCTGTTGTGGACTAATGCACAACATAGACAAGCCCATAAAGAAACATACCTTGTGGCCCCATTTGATCTTTAGAAAAGAGAAAATAAGGTGGAAACATTTTAACCTGTCAACTGTGTTACAAAGGCCATGTCTACACAGCAATAAAACCCCCAGGGCTGGCCCGGGTCCGCAGACTCAGGGTTGTGAGGGTGGAGGGTCCCAAAGCTTGGGTTCCATCTCAAGCCCGAATGTCCACACAGCAATTTTTAGACCCACTGCCCAAGCGTGTGAGCCTGAGTCAGCTGACCTGGGCCATGCCACGGGTCTTTTATCCCTGTGTAGATGTACCAAAGCTTTCTGGCCATGACCTTGTAGCTCAGAGCTTGGAACTTGTTTGCCATGTCAGCCTCCATCATATGGCTATACCGATCAGAGTGCAAAAAAAGAAGTCAGGGTAAAATGTTGAATGTTTTTTGTTATTTTTAGCTGAATTTCACATCTTTCTCTCCCCATCAGCAGTCTTTTGAAGCTGCTCTGGAGAGAGCTGAAGCCTTTTAAAAATACCTGTTTGAACATCATGTTTTGTCTTGCTGCTGGAGACAGATGTCAGTGAGGACAGACTTGAGTGTTAGTGTTTAAACTGGTGAAAAAGGCCTTAATTTCATTAATGAAATAAGATAATCCCCAAAGGAAAGGAGTACAAGGCATCTGTTTTGAAAGGGAAGTGGGGGAATCATGGAATCTAGAAAGGTAGGGCTGGAAGAGACCATGAGAGGTGATCAAATCCAGCCCACTGCACTGAGGCAGGACCAAGTAAACCTAGACCGTCCCTAACAGGTGTCTGTCCAACGTGTTCCTAAAAACCTCCGGTGACGGGGATTCCACAGCCACCCTCAGTAACCTATCCAGTGCTTAACTACCTTTATAGTTTAAAAGTTTTTCCTAATATCTAACTAAGTCTCCCTTGCTGAAGAATAAGCCCATTACTTCTTGCCCTACATTCAGTGGACATGGAGAACAATTGATCACAGTTCTTTTTATAACAGCCCTTAGCATATTGGAAGACTGTTATCAGGCCCCCACCCCCAGTCTTGTTTTTGGGGAGATACTTTAATGCAGTTACTGGCCTCCTCTGAATTTCTGTCCTCACAATACCAGTCATTTATAGGATCTCCTGATCAGGCTTTCACTCCCAACAGGCTGCTATGCAAAGCTGTAGCCCTATCTCACCCTGAGGGAATGGGCATTCCCATAGGCCGACCCCTATCAGCGTGTGGACGGTGGATTGGTGCCAAGTCTATGAGACGGGGTCTCACCCACAAGATCCCAGCCTTGCTTCTCCAACTGATTATAAACCTTTTTAGTGGCATGGGAGGGAAGTACTTGCAGTCAGGACCAAGCACCACAGATACCACTAGCTTTGTGCTTAACTGGTATTCCCACCCATTAGATCCCAGCCCAGTCAGTAAGTCCAAGAGGTGCAAGCCTTTGGGATGCAACAAGCCAATAAACCCATGTGTGATGGCCTTGAACTTTATCCTCACCGATGGAACCTTCAGCTCTTCTTCACAATTCTTCTTGGCCCTATCCACTGTGATTGGCTGCTTAGCTTCCCTCCAAACATGACAAAGGAAGAATTCAGTCCAGATGAGCCTGATGGCAGGAATAAATGCCTGAATTCAGACCAGTTGCCTTTCACCAGATCAGTCCAGCTGCAGTGTCTGATCAGATTTCAGTCTTCACAATGTTTACATCGAAATGCACTGTAATGACTGTGAAGCCTGTGAGAAAGGAACATGAGTTGATCATCTTTCATGCCTTCATGCCTAGATCAGCTGAGCCATGTTTTGTTCCATGGTAGTCGGAGTTGAAAACCATGGGTTTTTCCAACTGCATATTTGTATGCACAGTGTTATGGTGCTGGAACCATATAGCAAGATATAAGGGTGCAGATGACATTGAAATACCTGTGAACCACATTGTTGGGGAAGAACAAGAGAGATGAAGGCAGACACAAGAGCCTTTAAAACAAAACTCAATAAGGAGGGGACACAAGCTTGTTTTTGGCATTGGAGCAAGGATTTCCTTTCAAGCTTAACATGGATCTGAAAGTAAGCAAGCTGCCATCTTCGCAAGGCCTCAAGCTTGCTATCCAGGCATCTGGTAAGAGTAGAAGACTTAGCTGGCCAATATGGAAATATTTGATCCTGAAGTGCATAGTAAAGCCAGGTGCTGGTATTGAGTGACTCGAGTTGTGTCCACATGGAGAGGCAAGAGATGCTTCACTTGAGGGGCATCGTGGGTGGTAAACTTTGAAAGTAGTAATTGGACAGGATGTGTTACCTGACACCCTATGCCAGGGGATCCCAGAATGCGCTGACATGTTTTTGAAAAACTGAGGTGCAAACGGAAACCATTAGGCAGGGGCTGAGGTCTTACAAGGGTAACAAGCAAGCGGGGAGTTGGCCCAGCAGACAGTTATCTAACTCTGTGGGATGCAAAGGAATCCATGTGGCCAAGAAGGTCCTTGACAGAGTTTATTACCCCGTTACCTTGTAAAGGGCAACCATGATACTGGCTAGTGAGTGAAAGGCAGAGGGTGATGTTCATTCCTGAGTGCTGGGTGCACATAACCTTAATTGGCTTTTTGACCATGTAACCTTTGTCATGCTATAGCGGGAGCTGTTCCATGGTTGATAGTATGGATGTTAGTCTAGCCCTCTAAAAGACCATCCTTTTATTCTCCCGGGTATTTCCCCCCCTCCAATCTCAAGGGGGAAAATAATTAAATGGACACTGGGATGGGAAAAATATTCCAGAAAAATAATACATTGAATGATTCTCTGTGCAATCCAGAGTTCAAGCCATGTCTTGAGTGTTTCAGACACTGATGAAATGTGTACTGAAATATAGGCCTCCAGAAGCGTCCATATACAACTGGACATCTGGGAAGAGTTAGGCCTCAAATGCCAAGGTGAAATTCCTGTTGAACAACTACAAAAATGAGTCCCCAAAAGTCAAGGCTGCCCCAGTATAAATGTGGTGTTGTGGGTGTATGAACTCAGCTATGGGGATGCATCCCCCAGCAGAAAGACTAATCATAAGCTATTACCATGCCCACAAACCTGAAAGTTTCAAAGGCTACATGTGAAACTGAGTACGGCCATATCCTAATACCATACAGACTAAAAGGAGAAGCCAAGCATCTCAAATCCGTTGGGATACAGTGGGGGCAGGCAGAAAGCTGACTTGCTGTCACTTTTAGGTGAGCAGCAGAACCATCTCATAATATTCTGGATCAGTTAGATAATACTTGTATTGTGCCTTCCATCTGAGAATCTCAAAGTGCTTTACAGACATTAACCAACTAATACAATGCCTGCGAGGTGAGCAGCATTCGTTCCAATTTCAGAGGGGGAAACTGAGACACTGAGCAAATAAATGACTCAAGTCAATGGCAAAGCTGGGAATAGAGAATCCATGTCTACTTAGTCCTTTGTCCTTTCTCTCCCGATTATCTGTTTGGGTCTGAGAGGTACAGTATAACCTGACCTTCCCCCTGGAGCTTTTAGGGTGATGGTTTCTAGTAGGGAGGTTGGTGTGGAAAAGGAGAGAACTGACAAAATGAACAATGACTAATTCCTACTGGATTTTAGCTTTTTAGCACCATGGTGTTGAGGTATGTGGCCTGCAAGTAACTCCTATGACTTTTGTAAGATGACCTCAATCCACCTAGAAAGCCTACATGTCTTCTGGTTGGGTTAAATCCATTAGCATTTCCAAGAGAACTAGAAGAATTACTTTTTTAGAATAATTAGTCCGAATAGGACCCCTTCCCCTTGAAATGATCAGATCTAGCATCCCACCAGTAATACTGAACTCAGAAAAGTTTCCTGGGAGCACATTCTCTTGTGCTCTCACCTGCCCTTGGTGGACTCAGGAGCGTACTTACAGCTGTGACAAGTGCCAGTGCCTTTCTGAAAGCCGCAGCAAACCTGCTTCTCTTCAGGTTTGGGCTCTGATTTAGGCAGGACTGGTACAGGGAGACCAATTGGCATAATTTCAATCTGTGGCTGAGAGCTCGTTGGTTTCCATGTCCTGCACTGATTGTGTGGCTGCCTGCTTATGGAAGTGCTCTTTGCTGCTCAACCATATACAATGCTGTAGTGAGATGAGCATTGCTGATAATATCCTTATATTTAATGAGGGATGAGCTGTTCTCTGGCGGCCGTTCATCAGTCCTGGGGTGGAGGGGAAGTGGTGTTCTAAAGGCAGATACCCAATTTGTGATGCTTTGACCTCATTAAACATTTAGCTTGTCTGCTGCTCTGTTTCTAGGGAGGTTGCACTCAACCATCTTTAGCAGCGTGGTGGGGGGAGGAGCCTCATGTATTTTCCCTCCTGCACGTTTTCTCAGGTCTGGGACAGGTGGTTATGCAGTGGCTTCTCTCTATCAGCAGTTGGGGACACTGTGGAATTAGATTGTTCTTTGTCCCATGCAGCTAACCTGTGTGGTGAAAGATGTAACAGAAGCTTCTGAGGGTGTAGCAGGAATGGCAGAAATACCTTGTGTGGTACTTGAACATCAAGAAATTTGTGTACACCCACACATTGGTGCCATATTTTTAAGCTGCCTGGCTTAAGTAATGAAAAGGGAGATACAGAAGGACCTCAGAGTTATGAACACCAGAGTTACGAACTGACCAGTCAACCACACACCTCATTTGCAACTGCAAGTTTGCAATCAGGCAGCAGCAGAAGAAAAAAAAAGCAAATATAGTACAGTACTGTGTTAAGCGTAAACTACTAAAAAAAATGAAGGGAAAGTTTAAAAAAAAATTGACAAGGTAAGGAAACTGTTTCTGTGCTTGTTTCATTTTATATTAAAATGGTTAAAAGCAGCTATTTTCTTCTGCATAGTAAAGTTTCAAAGCTGTATTAAGTTATTGTTCAGTTGTAAACTTTTGAAAGAACAACCATAATGTTTTGTTCAGTTATGAACCACCTCTATTTCCGAGGTGTTCCTAACTCTGAGGTTCTACTGTAACTGACGTTGTTCCCTCAACTCACATCTGTATGCTTAAGAATTGCAACAGCGCATTTTTTTTTTCATAGTGTATGTGCTGCAATGGCTAAGGATACTGTATCGGAATTTCTTAGCCCTTGTTTGTCCAAATGGTACCCTCAGAAATCTAAGTTTTTTTGAGTGTGACTGTGAATTAATGAATATTTAAAATACCTTACAGATAAGCTGATACTCCATGAGCTAAGTGTTTTTGAGCTATTGTTTTGAGTAATGTAACCTATATGAATAGTACTATTCTTTCAGTGGTAGGTCTTAGTTCCTAAACAAAACTGTTGTGCATGTTGTTTTTGGATCATCAAAGCCTGAAACATTTGATGTTTAATATTTTGTTTATTCACTGAAAGGAAGAGGCTTTTTTGGAATATAAGTAGTTCGAGGAATCCCTGCCCCCAACCCCACATTTTATGAAAAATGGGGGTACAGCCAGATTTTCAAAATTGCTTATCACCCATCAGCTCTCACTTAAGCACTTACACAAGTGACCAGGTTTTCAAGATGTGGGAGTACTGGATATAGCTGGTTACTGAGCACTTTTGAAAATATGACCCCACTTGTGGGTGATGAGCAGTCTTGAAAATCTGGCTCATAATGTTTGTCATCTGCATTAGTGGTGCAAAGAGTTGAGATGAGCTGAAAGCAAAATACCCAGTATCTACCGAATTGCTCCTCTGGGAAGGTATCTCCAACAACCAATGCACTTGTACCACAGCAACAGCCAATTGGCACTTTCAGCTCTGCAGTAACACACATTGAATTTACCACTGTCAATAGCGATTCCTTTTGGAAATGCCACAAAACCCCTGGTGTAATTTGACAAGAAGCCAGGTACCCATCCTTCCCTCCTACTGGTTTGATGAGAACTGCTTCTATTGTCTGTGTCTTTTTGGCCCATACGTAGCAGGGAGCAGGTTTTGAAACAGAAATATTTGACTTGTGATATATGCTGTTTCCCCAAAGCTGTCGCTTACCACTATTATTTTGATTGTAAAAGGAGAGACAAGTCACCCTTCTAAAACTATGCCCTCTCCTAGACCTTAGGCAACTGAAGTTTACCTTAATTTGTGGGGAGGCTTTAAAATTCCCTTTAATACTACATTTGGGTTTTTTTAAAACCATAAGTTCATTTAAAAATATTATACCCGATTTACAATATTTGGGCACTCAGAAAGGAATGAGGTTCCACTCCCTCCTAACAACCCTGGATCCTCTAAAGTAAAAACAGACTCAGACTTTGTCATTTTAAGCCAATCATGATCAATAATGTTACAGGAAGGTCTTTTAAATGTTTTTAGTTCTGAGGCTTCCCCCTTTCTCACTCTCTCTGCAGTAAAGGAAGCCTTCAGTAATCTGCTGATACTTAATGACACCTGCTTGAAATGGAGGCGAAGAGTAAGGAGAGCTGGTAGGAAGGAAATCTATTCGGTAAGTGATACATATTTTGAATGTTTTATTTAAAAAAAATTAAAATCTAGCAAATATTGGCAAACCAGAGTCTTCATACATTGTTGCTTTTCGGGTCTCCACTCTTCTTGCATGGCATTGAGCCACAGTAACAGGGGAACCTAGCATGCGGCATCATAAGAAAACTAAAAGGGCCAGTGGATCATTGTTTGAAAAAGAATACCCACAACCATGCTTTTTGTTGTTTCTTGCTCACCTCTGTTTCGTGCTTGTTGTTTGTTTCTTCCTTTCTGCTGCTCTGTTCCTCTCCAGCCTTCAGCAATTTCTCGTTCTTTACACAAACTCAAACAGGCCAATGTGCCTTGCCGTGTACTCTCAGTGATCCCCTCACCCCGCTGTGAACCCTCCACTGAGGCTGTCTGTGGTGGGCCCAAGACTGGCTCTTATCTAAAGTTTCCACAGTTAGAGATTATCCAGCGTTTATTGCATCCCTCTAACTGAGGGACAGCCTGTAAGATTTAAACAGAGAGTGCAGTCTATTTTTTTCTTACTCAAATAACTGAGACTAGATAGGTGTGAAATTGTTTGTTTTGAGTTACTAACATTATGACTATTTGGCACCAGAGCAGTGGAAAATATGCATGACTACAAGTGTACATACAAGCCCAGCTGTCTGTAACTTGGTCCTGAGAGGGACTGGGCATTCTCATTTCATGTGGATATAGCATACTTGGACTTTCAGAAAGCCTTTGACAAGGTCCCTCACCAAAGGCTCTTACGCAAACTAGGCAGGCATGAGATAAGAGGGAAGGTCCTCTCATGGATCAGTATCTGGTTAAAAGGCAGGAAACAAAGAGTAGGAATAAATGGCCAATTTTCAGAAGAGAGAGAGGTAGATAGCGGTGTCCCCCAGGGGTCTGTACTCGGACCAGTGCTGTTCAACATATTCATAAATGATCTGGAAAAAGAGTGAAGTGGCAAAATTTGCCGACAATACAAAATTACTCAAGATAGTTCAGTCCAAAGCAAACTGCGAAGAATTACAAAGGGATCTCGCAAAACTGGGTGACTGGGCAACAAAATCGCAGATGAAATTCAATGTTGATAAATACAAAGTAATGCCAATTGGAAAACATAATCCCAACTACACATCCAAAAAAAGTGTGTTCAAATTGGCTATTACCACTCTGGAATCATTGTAGATAGTTCTCTGAAAAAATCCATTCAGTGTGCACTGGCAGTCAAAAAAGCTAACCATTTTAGGAACCATTAGGAAAGGGTTAGATAATAAAACAAAATATCATAATGCTTCTGTATAAATCCATGGTATGCCCACACCTTGAATACTACATGCAGTTCTGATCGCTCCATCTAAAAAAGGATATATTAGAATTGGAAAAGGTACAGAGAAGGGCAACAAACATGATTAAGGGTATGGAACAGCTTCCGTATGAGGAGAGATTAAAAAGACTGGGACTTTTCTGCTTAGGATATGATAGAGGTCTATAAAATCTTGACTGGTGTGGAGAAAGTGAATAAGGAAGCGTTATTTACTCCTTCTCACAACACAAGAACCATGCATCACCAAATGAAATTAACAGGCAACAGGTTTAAAACAAACAAAAGGAAGTACTTCTTCACAGAATTCACAGTCAACCTGTGGAACTTGTTTCCAGGGGATGTTGTGAAGGCACAGAGTTCAAAAGAAAATTCGATTGGTTCCTCAAGGATAGGTCAGTCAATGGCTATTAGCCAAGGTGGTCAGGGGTGCAGCCACGTGATCTGAGTGTCCCTAGCCTCTGATTGTCAAAAGCTGGGAGGGGACAATGGGATTGATCACTCGACAATTGCCTGTTCTGTTCATTCACTCCGAAGCACCTGGCATTGGCCACTGCCAGACGACAGGATAGTGGGCTAGATGGACCATTGGTCTGACCCAGTAAGGCTGTTCTTATGTTGACTTCAGTAGGATTTGATAGTAATGAACACCTTTCCGGATCAAGTGATAACTGCACAGCATGCAAGTGGGTTCACTTTTGTAAATGTACTGTTTCCGCAATGAAGATACATGAGTAGGCTGCTGGTTCCTGTTAGCTGGCAAACTAGCAGTTTTGGGGCTGGGGTGTGTTTACCAAAAAAAAAAAAAGGGGGGGTGGGGGGAGAAACGAAGTGCAAGAACTAGCTTTAGGGTAGTGCTGTTAAAGTTTATCCACAAGCATGCTGTGTCTTCCTTCATAAAACCTGGACATGTTTTGATTATAGTAACGCTCAACAAATTTAATACAGTCCGTTTGTATGCACATGTAGATTTTCAACAAGGATATGGTAAATTACTTTTCCATAAGATTTATGATAAATGGTTTAGTTAGAGTATCCCACAAATTGAACCCACGTGAAGTGTCAAAGCCTTCCATTTTCAGCACTGTGATTGTTTCATTAGTTTCACATACAGGGTCAACGCTGGTATCAGAAGGAGTTCTTTCATGAAATGGCCTTTAACCTCACCGCTTACGGACAGACTCCAGAGGTGTGTCTTGATTTGCGCCCAGGCACCAATTACACTGTGAATATTTCCATGGCAGCTTTGGATCTTTCTGTGCTAGTTTCCATGACAACTCCAATTATTGGTACGTCCTGCTTTTTTTCTTTTTAACAAGATGACCACTTGAGTGTGAGTGCTTAGCCTCAATGGCAATATTGTCAACTGACTTGAACTTAGTGTCTCAGTGTGGATTGTTGAAAAACTCCTGCCTTGTGCTCAAAAACTGTAATCTAATTGTTACAGATTTCATGCTGTTTCTTGTTGAGTCAGCAAATCCCAAAGCATGGGGACAATGGCTGTTATGTGTTTTTAAATGTTACTTCAGCATCACAGGGTAACTGGAGAGGAAGGATGGGACAGTGATTGGGATTCTAGCCTGGAACTCTGGAGACCTAGTTCAATCCCCTGCTCTGCCAAAGACTTCCTGTATGACCTTGGGCAAGTCACTTAGTCTCTGTGTGCCTCACTTCACCATCTGTACAATGGGGATAATGGCACTGCCCTACCTCACAGAGGTTGAAAGATTGTGAAGTACTCAGATACTATGGTAATGAGGGCCCTATGAGTACCATAGACTGATATCGCTACCGATGGTGATATTAAAAGGTATTCCAGCAAAAAGGCACTGTTGGCAGAGGAGGAGAAAGAGCATGTTATGCTTCGTGTTTTAATTGTAATTTGCTTCCAGAATTTTTTTTTCCATAAAGAAAACTGCACTAATAAAAATCTGCAGCCTTTGAGCTCATTTTGATTCCAGTTAAACTGGTTTAAATTAGGACACTTTTGTACCGTTCCTATGCTGAAAAGCTTCTGGGTTAGATTAAGAAAAACAACAACAAAGTGAACAGGAGTACTTGTGGCACCTTAGAGACTAACAAATTTATTTGAGCATAAGCTTTCGTGGGCTACAGCCCACTTCTTCGGATGCATATAGAATGGAACATATATTGAGGAGATATATATACACACATTCAGAGAGCATGAACAGGTGGGAGTTGTCTTACCAACTCTGAGAGGCCAATTAAGTAAGAGAAAAAAAACTTTTGAAGTGATAATCAAGATAGCCCAGTACAGACAGTTTGATAAGAAGTGTGAGAATACTTACAAGGGGCTGTACTGGGCTATCTTGATTATCACTTCAAAAGTTTTTTTTTCTCTCTTACTTAATTGGCCTCTGAGTTGGTAAGACAACTCCCACCTGTTCATGCTCTCTGGATGTGTGTATATATATCTCCTCAATATATGTTCCATTCTATATGCATCCGAAGAAGTGGGCTGTAGCCCACGAAAGCTTATGCTCTAATAAATTTGTTAGTCTCTAAGGTGCCACAAGTACTCCTGTTCTTTTTGCGGATACAGACTAACACGGCTGCTACTCTGAAACAACAAAGTGAAACACTAGCTTTGGTGTTGGCAGCAGACAGATGAAACCTAGCAACCTCTTTGAATTTTGTAACTGTGTTCGGCCACTAGGTGCAGCTGTTTATCTGCTGGATACCCAATGAAGAACTAGAGAGCTGTTTATGTGGTATTTTCCAAATCATGAATACTTCAGTACTTTTTTAATAGTAAATCTTAGCTTTTAAGACATCATAGAAGGGGGAAAAAATCTCTTCCTTGTGTGTGAAAGTTATTGTGTAGGGCACACAGTGTTTTGGATCACTTTAGTGATGAACAGCAATTATTGGATGATTTTTGCTTGAAAATTGCCTAGCTGTCATTCAAAAGTAGTGAATTGTTGTATCTGTTCATGTGTCTTGTTAGAACAAAGCATGTCCCGGAATTTGATTGATTGAGATGCTTTTGAATACCCACAGTTATAACCTGTAGGCATTCCACTTTACATTGTCATCCTGCAAGAGTTCATTACTTGTGCAGACGATCTGTACAGAATACTTTCTAGCAGGTGCTGCATGAAGTGGGGTTGATGATTTGGTACCTGGTATGTTTCTCTTTGAGCTGAGTTAGTACTGAATGAACGCACAAGCATAGTCCTGGGTGAGGTATCTGTAGAGCCCTGCGTGAATACAAATTTATATCCTTGGATGCAGATATACATGTGTATCCACACAGGGCTGTAGGTATTTGGTGGAGAGGCACAAACATTTGGTCATGTCTGCTTATCAAGTAAGATCTCATTAAAAGGCCCATTTTACTTTTTTATAAGAGTAATGGGGTTTGAGTCACTTTTGATTTAGCTCCCACATTTAAATTTTACAAAATTACACAATTTAGGATTAATAAAACTTTCCATTTTATTTTATTTTTTAAATTCCAAGAAAAACAGTGTTTGGTATGGATTTCAGCTTTCTCCACCAGTGTTTGCAACCCAAATATTGCAACATTGTGCTTGTTAATGACAGCTAGTAAGTGAAACTGACCAGTCTGTTTTGTAATCCATGGGCAGTGAAATGCAAAAAGAAAACCAAGACAATTAATGATGAAAACTAAATTAGATTTTTAACATTCTTTCCATGTTAATAATCTTAGCTGCTGTAGTACCAGTGAAGAAGCATTTAAAGTAACTCGCCTAACAATGAGCTTTTAACTTCTGTGCCATGCCTCTGAAATTATATTCTTCCTACCTAAATCCCTCCTGCGGTTTATTTAGGATATAGTATTCTTTACTTCCTGTCTTGCACTGCTGTGAGCTGCTGAATCAGGGCTGGTCTACACTACAGGGCAGGGATTGATCCAGGTTATGCAACTTCAGCTACATGAATAACGTAGCTGAAGTCAATGTACTTAGATCTACTTACTGCAGTGTGTCGACAGAAGACTCTCTCCCATCAATTTCCCTTGCACGTTTCGTTGAGGTGGAGTACCGGAGCTGACGCTAGAGCGATGGGCGGTCGATTATACTAGACACGATAAATCGACTCCCGCTGGATCGATCGCTGCCTGTCGATCCGGACGGTAGTGTAGACAAGCCCTCAGATGGCTGTACTTTGGTGGTGGTGGAGTTCTCCTAATTTGTATGCCGGTTTAAGCTTGTTAAAGTGCTTTGTGGCCCTTTGGGATCAAAAGTCCTATGTAAATGTAAAATACCTCAGAAGATCTAATGCTGTAAGGAAGCTGAAAGACTGAAACAAATGTTTTACTGTGGATGTACTGTAACTGGCCTAACCTTTGTTATCGGGTGATGTAGCTGCTTGAGGTTTCATGCTGATTTCTTTGGGGGAAGAGTAAGGAGGTATGGCCCTCAATTTACCCACAGTTAACAAATGTTCCTGGTGAGTCATGGATTTACATTTCAGAACATAGGATCACATCTTCAGCTGGTGTAAATTCCCATACCTTATTAACTTCAATAGAGCTACTCCAGTTTACTGCAGTTGAGGACCAGGACCAGGCCCATAGATTCTGTAATGCTAGAGGCCCTCTTATAGGTCATTTCATGGTGACCATATTCCTCTATGGAGGAAATTAATAAGGTTAGAGAGCGTATTTAGTGTGTACAGTCACATGCTGTACAGTCACATGTTAGTGAAAGGTTGCTTTGTGCTAAGACAGAAAAAAGAGAGAGAGAGAATCTACAGCGTTCATAAATGTCTGTCAGGAAACCTACCTTTGCTTCAGATATCCTGAATGAGATGATTCATTATGCCCATAATGGAATGTGTGTCTACACAAAAAATGGAATTCAGCAGCTTGCTACTTTCCTTACCGTAGACAGCCTGGCAAGCAGATTCCTTTTAAAATAAGTCTGTGATCAGCATGTTATTGTTCTCATCACCTGGCCAGTAAAGATTCTCTATTGAGTGCTTCATAGAGCACTGAAATTCTGTTCCTTTCATATTCCCAGCAGTATCCTTCTTAGGCTGCCTTTTCTGCCCTCCCGGTTTGCATAAGAGTTTTTACCATGTGCTCACGTGAGATGGGAGCTCGAGTCATGAAAAATGGTTGGGCAATCATTGCCCAATCGCTATTAAAAGACTGGTGATGTGAGCTTTCTGTGTTTTGGCAGGAAGGACAGTTTGTGTCTGTTTCTCCTGCTCCCTTCCATCGCATCCCCTAAAAAAAAAAAAAAAAAAGGCTGTTAAGGTTGTACTGTCTCTGATTCATTATTTCTCTGTCTGGGTTACTGATTGTTGTAGTCCCAAGTGTGCTCTTCCCTTTTATAGATCATTCGTGAAGAAGATATCCTAGGTAAAGCATTGTCGCTGACTATTTCTGAATTTAAGAAATGTCTTTTTTATAAACACTCACTTCCATTTGAGAAATGGCTAGGGAGAATTTAAGAAATACTGGTCTTAAATGAATAAGCCACAGCAAGGATATGCGTCATAGAAGATTAGGGTTGGAAGAGACCTCAGGAGGTCATCTAGTCCCACCCCCTGCTCAAAGCAGGACCAATTCCCAACTAAATCATCCCAGCCAGGGCTTTGTCAAGCCTGACCTTAAAAACCTCTAAGGAAGCAGATTCCACCACCTCCCTAGGTAACCCATTCCAGTGCTTCACCACCCTCCTAGTGAAATACTTTTTCCTAATATCCAACCAAGACCTCCCCCATTGCAACTTGAGACCATTGCTCCTTGTTCTGTCATCTGCCACCACTGAGAACAGCCTAGGTCCATCCTCTTTGGAACCCCCCTTCAGGTAGTTGAAGGCTGCTATCAAATCCCACCTCACTCTTCTCTTCTGCAGACTAAATAATCCCAGTTCCCTCAGCCTCTCCTCATAAGTCATGTGCCCCAGCCCCCTAATCATTTTCATTGCCCTCCACTGGACTCTCTTCAGTTTGTCCACATCCTTTCTGTAGTGGGGGGCCCAAAACTGGGCGCATTACTCCAGATGTGGCCTCACCAGTGCCAAATAGAGGGGAATAATCGCTTCCCTCGATCTGGTGGCAACGCTCCTACTAATGCAGCCCAATATGCCATTAGCCTTCTTGGCACAAGGGCACACTGTTGACTCATATCCAGCTTCTCGTCCACTAATCCCCAGGTCCTTTTCTGCAGAACTGCTGCTTAGCCACTCGGTCCCCAGCCTGTAGCAGTGCATGGGATTCTTCCATCCTAAATGCAGGACTCTGCACTTGTCCTTGTTGAACCTCATCAGATTTCTTTTGGCCCAATCCTCCA